ATAATCATTTGGTTATACAAAGGTTAGTGGTTATTATTTAATATTAAATAACTAATAAGAGCATGTTTAAAAAAATTATGTTTATTTTTTTAATATTTTTATTATTAAAATTATAATTTTATCAAAATAATCAATAAATAAATGTAATATAATATAACATAATATGAAAATGTAAATCAAACACTCATTGTTATTTTTAACAAAGGAAAAATTATATTATTTTTAAATAAAGAAAAAATAAACTTTAATTATTTCGTCTAATTAGCAAAATTTTTTTATTAAGTTAATATAAATTTTTTATAATAAGTTAATGCAAAAAATAAATATATAATAATCACTTAATATTATTAACGATAAAAAATGAAGTTGAAGCTAATTAAATAAGTGATAATTAAAGACTATGGCAAAAAATAAAAAAAATTAAAATGTATAAAACTTTTTGTAAAATTTAAAAATTTTAATTTATTAACGGTTTGATATAAAAAGTTATCTAAGGTAGTTTTTTCAATTTATTAGATTTAGACTATAATCACTATCCATTAATACTAAATCGTTGAATAAAAAGTTATGTGGAATAATTAATTTGTAGCAGTCTTAAAAATAAACAAATTTACCAAACACCTATCCTATAGTAATTTGGGCAAAACTTAACTATTACCGCCAAACTATCATACTAAATGAATCCATAAACAAAACTTTGATCCAACAATTCTTTTTTCTTAAATATATAAACTAAAGGTAATATTTTGATATTGGGTCTCCAGATGTTTTTGGGGGACTGAAAATTTTTTTTCCCACATGTATGTATTGGAAATGTGTAGGACTTGTTGTCCTTCCAATTTTGGAAATGTATTGAAAATGTCACCTTTTAATCAATTAAATAAAGATATTAACTATTCGATTAAATGTTTTCTAATTCTATAAATCATTTTTTTGATATGTAAGAGTAAAAGTTAATAAAATGATATGATTAATTAGAGTAATAAAATAATCTCAAGTCGAAATTATTGATGAGTAAATACCATTTTATATAATAGGTCTAAAGTTTAAATTTTAAAGATAGCATCCAAACACATTAATTTTGATGTGGGGTGCTAAGTTCGCCTAGGAGGATTAATATCTTGAAAACTAACTTTTATTTTCTAAACAGCTCTAGATTTGACAAAGAATGTGCAAGTGCAAGCAATCATAGGGCCCACGAATTCAATGCAGGCAAGTTTCGTCATAGATCTTGGAAACAAATCTCAAATACCTATCATCTCCTTCTCCGCAACAAGTCCTGATCTTAATTCTATTCGGAGCCCATACTTTTTCCAAGCAACTGTAAACGACTCATCTCAAGTCAAAGCCATCAGCGCCATTATCCAAGCCTTTGGATGGAGGCAAGTTGTGCCCATACATGTAGATAATGTGTTTGGAAAAGGGATTATACCGTACTTATATGAAGCCTTGGAAGAGGTTGATGCTCGGATTCCATACAGGAGCATTATCTCCCCTAGGGCCACCAATCAAGAAATTGAAATAGAGCTGTATAAGGTAATGACAATGCAGACTAGAGTCTTCATTGTTCATATGGGCCCAGATCTTGGATCTCGAATTTTTCGCATAGCAAAAGAGATTGGAATGATGGGTGAAGGATATGTTTGGATAATAACTGATGGGATGACTAATCTTTGGAGTGTAATTGATCGTTCCGATGTGGATTACATGCAGGGGGTATTGGGTTTAAGGAATTATGTTCCGAACTCAAAAGAGTTAAAAAGATTTGAGAAACAATGGAAATTGAAATTTCTACAAGATAATCCTGGTATGGGGAATGCTAAATTTGACATTTTTGGATTATGGGCTTATGATGCCACAACTACACTTGCCATGGCAGTGGAAGAGGTATTTGGCACCACAAATTTCAACTTCGATGCAGCAAATGTTTCTCAAAATGGTCCCACACTCATTCAGGCTTTATCAAGGATGAGACTTAAAGGTCTTAGTGGGGATTTTGGCTTTATTAATGGGCAACTTGAGTCGCCTATTTTCCAAATTGTTAACTTTAATGGAAATGGTGAAAATGGGATTGGGTTTTGGACACCAAACCATGGACTAGTTAGAAGACTAGAAGTTACAAACGTAACAAGGTATTCCACTTCCAAGGGCAATCTTGGATCCATCATATGGCCAGGAGATCCCCAGTCCATTCCCAAAGGTTGGGAGATTCCAATAAATGGGAAGAGATTGAAGATTGGGGTGCCGATGCAAAACGGATTTACTGAACTTGTTAAGATAGCATTGGATAATAGTACTAATTCAACTACTTTCTCTGGATACTGCATAGATGTCTTCAATGCTGTCATGAATGTAATGCCATACCATGTCCCCTTCGATTTCTACCCCATTAAACTAGGCGAGGAGGAAACTTACAACAATCTAATTGATGAAGTGGTTTATGGGGTGAGTAATTTGCCTTTAAAGTTAAGTTTATATCACTTTCTTTTAGTGAACATCCATACTTTGGATTTCTTAATTGATTCTAACCTTGGTGAACAGAATTATGATGCGGTGGTGGGAGACATTTCTATTATAGCAAATAGGTCAAAATATGTTGAATACACATTACCATTTGTGCAATCTGGCGTGGAGATCCTGGTGCCCATACGAAATGATGTAGATAAGAATGCATGGGTGTTCCTGAAGCCTTTATCGTGGGACCTCTGGATCACCAGCATTTGCTTCTTCACCTTTTTGGCATTTGTTATCTGGGTTCTTGAGCATAGAATTAATGAAGAATTTCGTGGACCGCCATTGCATCATGTTGGAACTAGCTTTTGGTTCTCCTTCTCAACCATTGTTTTTGCTCACAGTAATGATCCTTTACATATTCAAACTCTTTATGCTTAGCTCGACTTGATTAGTTATTAACCTCCTAAATCCACGTAGAAATAAAATATAGCTAATTATTATGATTTGCAGGGGAGAAGGTGTTAAGCAATCCAGCAAGGATTGTGGTGGTGATATGGTGCGTTGTAGTATTCATTCTAACGCAGAGCTACACAGCAAGTTTAACTTCTCTTTTGACAGTTCAACAGCTACAGCCAACTGTAACTGATGTAAATGAGTTGTTGATGAAAGGGGAGAATATTGGGTACCAGATTGGCTCCTTCGTTCGAGAAATCGTCCTGGGGTTGAAATTTCATCCATCCCAAATAAAGACATATTATTCCCCGCAACATCTTGAAGAACTTTTTACCAAGGGAAGTGCTAATGGGGGTATCGCAGCTGCAATAGATGAAATCCCCTGCTTGAATGTGTTTCTTGCACAACATTGCAACAGATACACAACCTTGAAAGCACCAACTTTTAGGTCTGGTGGCTTTGGATTTGTAAGTTCTTTTCTTCTCTCACCCCATCATTATCCGCATTGCTCTTAATTAAGCTAGCTAATTTTTTTTAATAAAACTGTAATTAATAGGTCTTTCCAAAAGGTTCTCCTCTTGCAGCAGATGTTTCTAGAGCAATCCTAGAGTTCATCCAAAGTGATAGAGCAGAGGAAATTGAAAACCCACTAAAGAGACAACCTATATGTTCAACTACCTCGGGTTCAACAAACAATCTAAGTCTTGGAAGCTTTTGGGGCCTTTTTCTCATTGTCGGGGTGGCCGGAGTATTAGCTCTTCTATGCTATGCAATTGAGTTTTTGTATGGGCAAAAGGATGTCTGGTGCAAGTGTGACACGGGAATTTCAATGTGGAAAAGAATCCTTCAAGTATTACGAAACTTCGACCAGAGAGATTTGACCTCACAGGCCTTTAGGCAACGTGAATTAAAAGAGGAAGGCAGTATTGAAGTCATTCGAGTTAGAGGTGATGTTGAGACCCCTGTCAATGCTCCTATTGAGACCCTTGATGAAGAGCCTAATGATATACGTACTGCAACAGAATCTAGAGAAATAGATATTCATCATGCTAACACAAACAGCTCATGAAAGAGCAGTGGACAATGCTATTTCTATTTAGGTATATTAAGGGATTTGGAGAATAAAAAATAGAGATTAGTGTTTATTAGTTAGACTTATTGTAAAAAATTAGGTGAAAAAATACTTCAAAACTATATCATTTTAATAAAATATCACAAAAAAAAAGACCAAAACAATATCATTCTTATGTTAAAAATAGATTATTATAGTTTTTTTTAATTAGTTTATTAAGATAATATAATTTTAATGTATTTTTCCCCTAAAGTTAGTGATTGATTGAGTTATTTAAATTAATAGTATCTTTAGGTTTGAAATTGAATTTTTTTTTTTAAACCTTTTAGGTTTGAAATTGAATTAAAATTCCCCCAAATCCCTTTGCGGGATTCATTTAACTAGCTGTTTACACCTAAAATAAACCAATGAGAGAATGCCACGTGTCAATGTAAAGCCCAATTATCAAGAAAATCAATAGGCTGGATTTGGGCTGGGCTGGATTATAATTTAAGGGCCCAGACAAATTTCCAAGGAGGTTGGATCTTGGTTGGCAGAAGATAAGATTAGATCTGATGGTTTAAGTTTGATTTAAAATGGGAAATTGAGGGTTTTTAGGTAGTTATCTTTAAGGTTGTTGGAGATAAGGTTAAATAAAAATCATTGGATAACTGTCAAGAAACTGCCAGACCTGCAACCCCATTACCAGATCATGGAGGAACAGTACCGAAAATCATGGAGGGAGGGTGACAGCACCGAAGCAAACAAAAACCAGAAGGAGAGATCAGTTACAGGCCTGCCTAACACACACACAGACTACCCAGAGCATGTTTTTCAGCTTTCAGACTGCATTTTCCAGATTTCAGCAATAGTTTCCAGATTTTCCAGATTTTCCAGATTAGTTCATAGCCTTAGCCTAGGTTTGCCTATCTTTGTTCATATTTTCTTTCGCAAATTCCAATTTAGATTAATTTTTAAGCATTTGGAAGCAACTTAGCCTTCAAAACAGGTCTGCCCTTTTGATACGGTTAGTTCTTCTTCATTTTATGGATTTAGTTATGTTATTCGTTCATGTAAATAGGATGAATGTTTTCTACCTTTGTTCTTTTGTCTCTGCACAATATCCAGACATGCAGTTTATTTAATTTCAATTTCCAGATTTAAATTTATAAGTTTTCAGACTTTAATCATTTCATAGTTTCTACTTCAGTTTTAGTTAATCATTATAGGCTGTGTAGTTGAAATAATTGTCTGTTATTTTACTTTTTCTGTTGTCTGCGAATTTAATCTTCATGGCATGTTAGTTTCTGTTCTTTACTTCATGTTAGTTTAATTGCTTTAGGATATTGCATTTATTTTAGGATTTGTAGCTTTTATTGCACTTGTTTGGTTGTGAAGTCCTTGGAGGTTTCCAAGACAATTAGTAACCCATTTTGCAGAACTCTACCCTCTGTTTTGCAACATCGTCTGGGGCATAATTCATTTCACAGACGTTCTTTCCAGCCATCCTATTGGAGGTCGACCGCTAGAAAGGAGAAGGGTCGTCTGGAAAATCCTATTTTCTTGCTTTTAGACAAAGCAAGTGGCACGCCTAACATCCAACTCACGTGGTAAAAGCCAGCTGAGGATTTTGAGGAAACACTAGCTAATCTTGATTTTCTTCTAAGTTCAAACCATGTGTGACACTTATGCAGAAATTTGAATAACCAAAGACATTGGTGATATTAAAGGAATGGAATGGTTAAATAAAAAATCTCACATCAAAATATATGTATAACAAAAAAGCATGTGACTTGCCTTAAACCATGGCTCCCCCAAAACGTAACTGTTGCTTCAAACAAGTAGAGCGGACGCAGAAAGCTTTGTTGTGCTATTGACACTTTTTTTTTTTCCACTTTTAAATTTGTGGTTTTTTTTTTATGCTTGTTTCTATTATAGACCCTCACAAAAATAGATTTTCCAATTTCCTTTTAGTATAAATCGTAGCATGGGCCGGAAGCCCACATCATCTGGGCTAAGACTTTTTGGGAATCTAACCAGTATGGGGGGCCACGCTGCATGAAAATATAAGTAAATAAAATGAATGTTTTGCTTTTCTTTGTCAGTAAAACCAATATATTATCAAGAAGAAATACTCCACTATAGCAATATGCAGCTAAGAATATTTAATGAATGTAAATAATATTTTTTAATAATAATAGCAGTTAAGAAAATTTAATGAATGTAATAATAATTTTACTAATAATAGTTGTATAATAATAGAATCAAATTTTATGATAGAATACTGATAATGAGGATATGTTTTACGATGAATTTATGGTAACTATGATAATTTGAATAATGATAAATTGGACAAATTATATAGGTCAAAACTTTGAGACCAATGACATGGCATAAGGCACCTCATCTAAAATATTAAATGATTTTTATATTATTTAATTATTGACTCTTTTTATTTTATTGTAACTTATGATATTATATGCAGCATTTAATAACGTGACTTATACCATTTTATTTATCCAAATTTTTATCTCTAATTTTCATCTTTTACATCAATACTCTAAAAATTTATGTTAATTATTGATTATGATGTGGGGTATAAGCAAAAGTAATTGTCTATTCTTTTATGAAAATATTATAGTTACAATGTTACGTGATATTATAAGCTCATAATGTGATAATTATTATATAGTTGAGTCTTTTTATTTAGAAGTACACTCATAATATTATATGTATTCATTCATTTAATATCATATTCACTATTTGGAGATACTAGTTTGGTTTGTGAATGGCTTAATAGGTGCAAGTGTTCTAATTTTGTTTCATTTTTAGGAAAAACAAATTAAAAGAATCCTCAGCTCCCACTGTACATGCTCTTAAGATTATTCAACTCTTAAGATTGTTCAACGTATTTTGAGCTCCTAAAGTAATTGAAGATAGCTGGAGAAATGCCTTGGTTAGAGTGGACCTAACATGAGTGTGTGTGTACCAATTAATTAATAATCCATAGCTTCATAGACAAGTATATAGTTTTACTTTATGGCAAGTAATTTAACTTGATCCTAGGAAATATTGGATACTTAAGATTATGGCATGTCATGTAAATTTGAAAGACAACCATATTCATATATAGATTATAGGGTTAGTTTCAAAATGTTACTACATCACTCTTCATTGTCACCTGTGTTTTTTTTTTTTTTTTTTTGGGAAGCCTATGGGCCCTAGGAGTGCACACGTGAATGAAATTAAACATATATGAGAAAATATCATTTTAAACCTAAAAGACATGCTCATTGTTCATGGACTCCATACATATATTTTTCTCATTCACCTTGTTTCTCTTTAAGGTAAGATTCTTACACTTTTCTCTAGGTTCCAAGATTTTGGATTTCTAGTATAGTGTTATCTTTTTTTACTTATAAATGTGGTATTACTACTAGAATCAACATGATTTCTACAAGTTGATTGAGATAAAATAAATAAAATAGAACCATACAAGTAACACAACAATCTAACCTATAGTCAAAAGACCAAAAACATAAAAACAAAAACTGACTAACACTACAAAGTCAACAAATCATACAAATAAATGCATTGTTTCCACTTTCCATCCAAGAATTACAACTGCAACCCTTTTACTTCATTTTTTCTATACGTCATATAATTGGACTATATAATAATGGATAACCTTTTCTTTCCAATAATTCTTCCCCATCTGTTTTAAGTTCTTAACCACTTATACTGTGGTCTAGATACTTAAGATATCAGTAGCATGGAAAAAATGAAAAATTTATATATTGATGAATTTTAATCTAGATAGTTGTAATATCCTTGCTTTTATAATTTTGTTATTGCTTGACCTTTGTAGTGATATATATATATATATATTTGAGCACAAAACAAAAACCCTAAGCAATTCAGTAATGACAACGTTGCAATCAAGCATTAGAAACTATCTAATTTGCTGGTGTTGATGTCTTCTATCAACCAATTTGATCCAAGCTTTTTTTATGACTATATGCACAATCTTAATCACCAACCTGCTCGAATAGCTTGCTAGGGAGAAGGTTGAATATAAGAGAATTTTTTAGACTCTTCATATGGTCTAGAAACTGTTCATTATAAAACTTGATCAGTCTAACAATGTTGAACATCTCAGAGAAGGCAAACAAAGTGAGCTGAGGAGTCACCATAGGATTAACATGGGCAAGCAATTGGAAATAGCCATATGTCTTTTCTTTGCTGTGACAAATCTTGCAACTATTATTGTCATATTAGCAAAAAAGTTTCTTGATTCTAATTCTTTACAAGAGTGACATCTCTTGCTTGTGTCTTGTGATCTTATCAAGTAGTAGAACAAGTACTTTGTCATAAAATGGAAGCTAGATAGTGATAACAAGCAATGTGATACTGTAATTGAACAGGCAGAGGTATCTATGTTGAAGCTTATATAAAGGTCCATCTTTATAACTTGTGCTACCATCTATATAATGTTTATGAGGCACTCATCTTCAACATGTTGAGTGTTGCAAAGCCTCTATGGATTGACAAAAGAATCATTTGGATTCAATATAAAGCCACTTTTTTTAAGAAACTAAAAATGCAAGATCAAACAAAGCTCAGTTAATAAATTACAGTAGCTTAGCACTAAGGCAAAGGCCGTGCTAAATTAAACCATTAGATCATGGTCAATGAGCTTTGATAGTAAGGAGTTCTTTAATGGAAGATTGTAGAAATGCAAATCAAATGGTTATTCATAAGATAAAAGTAATGTTCCTTATAGGTTGCAAAAAACAATTAAGGTCGGGTTTCTATATTTATCCACCATTATCATGCCTTTTTTTTACTCTTAGGACCTAATTTGGTTAGGATTTGCATTGATTTGTAGCCTAAAATAAGGAAACTTTTGCAGGGTAGATAAAAAAATTGCCCAACTTAAGTCAATTGTATCAACAAAATGATTTTTTTTTTTTAATATAGTCGATTACTTTGTCAAATAATTGATTGTTATTTGTAAACCATTTTTATATTAAGTAATTATAGATTCATTCATAAATAGATATACCAAGTAGAGAAAATTAGGTGATGTATATGAGCAAAATCTATGATAGGCGTCGTAGAGGCAAAGAAACACAAAGCCACAGATGTTAATGGAAGCTAAACCTACAACATTAACAATAAAAGATGTGTTTAATTCAAATCTAAACAATTTAGCATTGGGCAGCAACTGATATTAAAGATCATTAAATAATAATCGTCATAGGAGTAGTTATAGAGCTTTATATAAAGTAGAAAAATTGCCACTATAAGCATCTTGAATAGCAAGATATATAATCATGTTTGAAAAACAAACTTATATGCAAATAGCATTAAATATAACCTTGTGGTTGTGGTGGTATTGTATTTAACTTCTATGGTATTAATCTACGACCTTGATCGAGTCCTTATCATGCAAGCCAATCAAGAGCCATGTCAAATTCAAAGTGGTGAAAATCACATGACAACTTAGGTTTCGTTTGATTATGTTTTGCACAAACCTTTTTCTCATAACACCTTTTTTAAAAATATAAATTTATTATTTTAATTTTAATTATTTTTATATACTTCTATTAATATTAATTAATATTTTATATGTTTTTAGAATAATAAAAGACGAAAATCTATGGTTACAACGCAGCACAACAAGTTGTGAAGTGTGGACTTAAGGTTATTTGAGCACATCCGAACTATTTGTTGTTTCATCTAAGTTCAAGTTTGATATTTGGTGCGTTATGGAAATCCCAATTTAGCTTAGTAGGAGTAGTGAGTTCTTAGAAGGGAATAAAAGATGATGCTAATATGTTTATGTTTCTTTAATTGAGTCCTTGTTAAGTTACACTTATGATAACTAATCAATCTAGTCTATTTTTGACCTCTCAAATATCTTTGAGCCAAGTCAAAAATGGTGTCTGGAATAACTTACATAATTTTGTTTTGTGACTGAACTATGCATGCTTGAAGGGAGCAATTTGGTTTTAGCCATACTTTAAAGAGTTAATTTTATGTAATGTAACTATTGAAGCTGAACAAAAGTAGTAATGAACTAAGAAATTAGAAAATGCAAAGGCAATTAAGGTTTTAACCAAGCTATCTAAAGTTGTGTGCTTATGTAGTTGAAATGCCAATTTAGCTGGTTATGTCAATCATTTGACAAGTTTCTACAACTTTCATTTAATAGATGTGGTTTTTATTGCATATCCTAAAACATTGAAACTAATATAGTGCCATGTTTAATTTCTGTGGTGGAAGTAATGCTAATATTTTGCCTTGACTGAGACTATGAAAAGTTTAATTTTTGATAACTACTTAACCTGCTATTCAAGGTTGTTTTTGGTGTATAAAATAATATTTAACCAGGTCAAAAATGGCATCTGGACTCTAACATAACTAATGCAATTTTGTCTTGCAACTGAACCATGTTTTTGGGTTAATGCGCTTGAAGAGGTCAATTTAGTTCTTGGTCACACTGTAAAGAGTTAATTGTATGTATTTTTTATATTGAAGCTAAGAAAAAATAAAAATTAAAAAAAAAAATAAAGAAGGCTTAATTAGGTGATGTGCGTTTTTTGTATTCTCCTTGTTTGGTCTACTTTTTCTTTTCTCTTTCTTTTTTTTTCCCAGTATCTATTAAGTCTAGTTGAGTTCGCGGTATCTTTCCTGCAAAAATTTTCATCTCTTTTTGGTACTTTTTCTAAGGAACTCTATTTGGCCTTTTATTTGATAATAACTATAATGTGGAAATAACTATTTAAATCTTTAAAGAGTTCTTCTTTTTTCTCTTTTCTATAATTTCCTTGGCAAGGAAAATTGTTGGCATTATTATATAATATTAATGGTACAATTATTATTAGATTTAAAATTACAGAAGTTGCAAAAAAGTTTAATGAATACCAACCTTAGGAAGGCGTATGTTAAATGTATCATGGTAGCGGTACGGTATGACATTGAACATTTAGAAAATAATTGGTAAATAATTAATATATTCTTTGATTTAACACATTCGATAATACTTATTATTTCAATTATTAAAATCTATAATTTTAAGTTTTTTACTTTTAATTTAAATTTAAAAATAATATTTTTTTAATAAATATATTATGAAATGAGTTGAACTGAAAGATATATTAATCATTTTATTTAACTTTTAGTATTAGACTATAGCCTTGATTGAGCCTTTATAATGCAAGTTAGTCAAGATTGTTGTTGGTTTCAAAAATACCTCTGACCGGTGTCCAAAGTGGTGAAAATCACATGAAATTGTAGTTTTGTTTTTGGCTGCTTAACTTAATCCGTATATATCTTTTAATTCAAAGTTTACTTGTTACATTCAGTATCATTCTATTTTTTAGCTGCTATTTTGGTTTACCCTAACTTTCTGTCTTGAAACTTCACTGCAACATGCCATATTTGGACCTTTGTTTCTTGTTAAGGATCCTTTCCCTTACTATTGTGATGCTATAAATAAAATGCATTCTTCTTCCCAATGTAGGATTCATGGAAACCAAATGGGTTGTGGGTTGATTGGGCAATGGAGTGCGAAACATGTACTGTTATCCTTTTTTTTTTTTTTTTTGGATAAATGTAATGTTATTTTTAACGCATCATGTTAAGACTCTTCTATAGATGTATCAGTATTAAAATTATGATTCAGTAAACATTATATCTAACTCCTAACATTAAGCATATATAAACCACCATTTGTTGTTTTATCTAAGTTTGAGTTTTTGATGTTTGATATGTTGTCAAAATGCCAGTTCAAATTAGCTTGAGCAGTGAGTTTGAGAAAGCTGGAAACGAGATTGCTTTTGTGAATGCTAATATGATTTTGTTTCCTTGATTGAGTCCCTGTCAATCCAAGCTGTTTTAGGCCTCTAAAATTTCTTTGAGCCAGGTCAAAATTGGTATCTCCAATAGCCTCTTTAAATTTGTTTTGTTACTGAACCGTGGTGGGTTAATGTCCTTGAAGAGGTTAATTTGGTTTTCAGCCCCACTTCAAAGAGTTAATTTTATGTAATACAGCTATTAAAGCTGAGAAAAGTAGAAATGAATAAAACAAAGAAAATGTTCAATTTATTTGAGTTTCCCTGAATCCATTCTGTTATAATTGTGAAAATGGACATGTAAATTTTAATATAAAACTTGTATTTAATTAAAAATAATTAATTAATACTGAATAAAATATTTTATTTTATATTTAAAACACATATTCCTTTACTATATTCTCATTACATAACTCTCCCACTCAATACTAATGTTTATTTTTTTTAACAAACTCAATTTATATTTTTTTATAATGTCATGTAGTTATAATTATGACATAATATATTATAATATTATATTCATCTCTTTTTTTATGCCTTCATTCATCAAATTAATTAATTTTGCTTATTGTAAATAATTATACATAACATTATAATTGTATTATTTTTGTGAAATTATAACCATGTCATTTCCATACATTTCCTTTCTCAATATACTGAAATAAATTATTATTTCATCAGATATCTCCTTTCCTCAAGAAAAAGAGGAGCACTGAAAATCACCAGTTCCACGCATCACATGTGCCTTACTAAAATCCCTACAAGCGCCGAGTGTCGGAAGCTTGAAAAAGGAGCTTCTGCTCAAATGCAAGCAAAATCCCAACCTTATCCGCACCCAAACACGGCCTTAACGTTACCTAGTTGTAAACTTCTGAGCTATAACCGATAAAATCGACGACAATCACTTGTTGTAAAAGCGATTCTTCAACCACTTAGCTAAATTTCCCCGCCCATCCCCCAAATCTACGGAATTGTTCGTTGCTTCTTTCTTTTTCCCTCGGTGGTTTTGCCTTCCTCATCTGTTATACAGCCACCAAGTGTTCGGAGAAATGCCGGAGTCATGGTGTCCTTCACCGCCGCTCTTGTCTCGCCTCCGTTTTTGACGCATTTTGATTCTCGCGTTCCCCCTTCTTGCCTCTGCGCTGTTGGGCAGTGGGGAGGAGTGGGGAAGGGAGGAAATTTTTTGCCGCTGAACTTGAATGTTGCTCTGGGGGAGAAGAGTGGAGGTGGGTTTTCTTTCTTGGGATTTATTGAAGTGAAGAGGAGGAGGAGGAGGGGTTCTGGAGATTCTTGTTGGTGCAAGAAAGAGTGCGATAGTGAAGGGGATTTGGCTTTGGAAGCAGAGATATTGAAGTTCATGACAGATAGTGAGAAGGTTTTTCCGAGCAAGAAAGAGTTGGTGGATGCAGGGAGGATGGATCTTGTGGAGGCATTTCAGAGACAGGGAGGATGGCTTGCTTTGGGTTGGGATTTGGATAATGGTGGTGATAGTCAAGAGGAGCAAGAACAGCAGTATCAGCTTCAAGAAAATGGTTTTCAACATTTGAATTTTCACCAAACTGAGAATGCATGGAAAAATGGGGATCAGAAAAACAGTGTTGATGGTGAAGTTCGGAGTTCTGGGGCTTCTTCTTGCCCTCCATCCTCGTCTGGTAGATCACTCTGACGATTCTAATCTTTTATTTTACTTGTTTATGCTTGCCTCTTTTTTTTCTTTTTTATTTTTTTTTTTTCTGTTCATGACAGATGTCCATTTACGGAAGTATGGTTAAAAGTGCTATTTCTTTAATTCGCCTTCCCAGAGGAATAACTTAACGTGTTGCATAAATGCATTATGATGTTTGAATAATGCAATTTTGTTGATTTCTGTTCTTCTCTTGTTTATAATTCTCATGCTTCCAATAAATAGTTGCTTGACTCCTTATGAGTAAATGAATTTAATTTTTTAAACAACATATCCTTTTCTCCCCTGGTTTTGGCTTGCAAACTATTGTATGAAAAGTGAAACTGCAGAAAGTAAATGGAAATTGGGATCGTTTAACATCTGGACCACCCTCTAAAAAGTTTACCCTGGTTATACTGGAAAGTTCTTGACTCAATAATCTATTTACTCAGAGAAGAAGTGGCAGTAGAGGATGGCAGTGGGATTGAGGGTATACTGAGTCGTTTGGAGAAAGAAAAGAATATCAATTTCGGGTTTGGTTTCAATGAGAAGGAAATAAGTGCTCATTTCCCGCATAATGATCACAAAGATGACTTTCTTCCTCAACTATCCACCACTATAGGTATGATGTGATGATTTATTGATGTTGAATACCAATCACTAGTTTTTTATATGATTTAATTTCCCTCACAAAATTTACTTGCTGGTTTAATATATTACCTTTTTTATGCGGATTAAATGAAGATTTCAAGTTGGTCAGATATATTTCTCTATTTTAGTGCCATTACAATGTGTTGGGTGGTGTAGACATAACAAGATTTGCCCTTTGAGTATTTTGCTCAACCTCTGTTATAACTTGAATATTAAATTTGTAACGGAACCTTGTTTTTAAAATACATCTACCCTACTGGACAACCTATATCGCCTTAAAGTTGATCACTGGTTTTTTGTGGCATGGAAGACTTAATCCTAACTTTTACTTTTTGTTTTGTCATGAAAGTCAGTTGCTGGCCCTGAGAGAAGAAGATCTATATCCAATACTAGCAGAGGAATAATTGATGATAGTGGGGGCAAAATAAGTCACAACCAGTCCTTTTTTGGTGTCGATGCTCTTAGACATGGAAGCTCCATTTAGTTGAATATTTGGAGAAATTGGAGCATCCAGAGAGCAGGGCCTTCAGACATGGAATTTGAAGGTAGTTTTTTTAGTAGCATGAATTTCTTCCTGCCTTAACAGTTTTGATTCAGATAACTTCTGTTTGTGTTAATGCAATTGCAATGTATACAACTGCTGACACTACTTATAATGAAATGGGAGGCGCAACAGATATTTCAGGAGATGACACACTTGAAATAAGAGATAGATCTAGTGAATTGGACAGAAGAAATGAATCAAATTCTTTTCAAAAAGATAACCCAGATCAAATCCACAGTCACCGTGAGCGCCTGGAGTTAGAGCTTTCCTCTGTGCTTCAGTCACTCGGGTCTGATGCTGATAATGTTTCATTGCAAGAGGTGGGTTACTGTTTTTTGCCCCTGTATATGTGCACTTACCACAACATTCAGGAACCTTTTCTTTTTATATTATTGTTGAAGAAACTTATCAAATATCTTGTTCCATCCTTCTGTTAAATTGAAAATAATCAAGCCATTAAAGTATATATCTCCTCAGGGAGTTAGGAGAAACAGTGAGTGTTTGTTGTACTAAAGAAATTCCATGGAACTGCATCCAATGATTTTCATATTGAAAATGTCCATGTAGATTGATTTGTCACATGTTATCCATAACTGGTCAAACGTGTATTAAGTTCCTTATAGTTTAAACTTCCACCCAGTCCCTTTTAAAATGAAATAAGAGCTTGTATTCATATATAAAAGGCATAAAAAAAAAATAAAGAACTTTTATTTTTTTGTGACACAGGTGGAGGTGTCTACTTCTACAGTCCTCGTGTTTGCAGAAAGAAAAGCCGTAAAAATATTGAAATTTAGTGTAGAAAATATTGAAATATTGATAAATGTCATCCACTTTTTATCTTATTTTTTAAAGATAATTATCTTTTTCATCTAAAAAGTTGTGCTAAATTTCAACCATTCATAGTGGATAAATGAATTGTCAAGATTTTGTATAAGTGGTGTGGGTAAGAGTTATGTGAAAGTGGCTCCTAATTCATATATATATATATATATATATATGGTCAAACTTATTTGCCAATAGTTCTAATTTAGCTTTAGATTCAATAATTTATCAATTTGAGTGGTGAGATTGTCCCATTTTTCTGTTTTCCTGCCTAGGATGTTTAGTTTATGCAATGATCAATTCAAACTTGAAGTAAGAGTTGTCTATGTTGATGGCCAAAGAAAAAAAAGGGAGTTTCTATGGGTAATTTTTTTTTTTTTTACCCAGTGATAAGATGATAATTTTAAACTGATAAATATTCTGATTTGAAGAATTGATTGCATTTCTGTTTTTTATCCACAAAAGCTACCCCAGCGCATCCTTTCTCCATATTTATAATTCTTTCTTGTAGGGTTTCAAATCACCTTTTTAATCCTGCTCTATATACTGTTAACTGTTTTAGGATGACGGAAGCTCCAAGGACGATTTACAGAATCTTTCTGATGCTCTGGAGTTTCAACAAAATGAAATCTTGACTGCTCAGGGCAAGCTACGACCCATTCAGGCAAAATTGGCAGTTTTGGAAGGAAAGATGGCACTCTCAATAATGTATGCATATTTTTTGTTTATCACTACAAATGCTATCTAACTCGTTACTCTGAAAATAATTCTCACACTCCTGTTACAGAGATACACAAAAGATTGTGGAACAAAAGCAGAGAAGGATTGATGATGCTTGTAGAGCTTTACAACTTCTTCGTACTGCTTACATAGTGTGGCTTAATTCAGCATCAGAAGTGCTCTTAGCAGGATCATTTGATGGATGGGCCACACAGGTTTGTCCCATCTCAAGTACAAATTTGTTTAAATTTGATAACACTGTAGTTTTCCTTTCGTTTCTTGGTTTCATTAATTGAAGTGTTGCTATGTGTGGCTGAACACTCACTGCTGGAATCGTTGCATGGGTGCCCCTTTCTTAATTTTTGTGGGTCTTGAATCAGCATTCTATATGTAGCATAATTATGTTTGATAGATTTTGAAAGCAACAATATTTTGACCCAAGAATTTATTTACCAATTGAATTACTGCTTATTATGTCAAATACCTTAATGGAAATATAGAATTGAATTTTATTTGAATCAACATGGAATCTCTTATATCAGAAAGAGTCACCTTCCCTTAGCAATCAAGTGATCCTTTCTTTGATAAAGCATAGCAGGGCCAATATCCTGTTGGCCTTGCTCAGAGTGCTTGCTTCCTTTTTGTTTACTCCCAGCCAAGTTCCCTTGGGTGTTGGCCTACTGAGGCACACTGCTCCTGCGGCCTCCCACAGTTTGATTGATTAAGGGAATGTGGTTTATCTTTACTATTTTTGCTGAGGCTGCCTTTCATCTTTCTCTAGGTGTAGGTGTAAGCTATTGTGTTTAATAATGTCCATTCTTTACCTGTTAGCTCTTATTTCATCAACAGCTGAGGGTATTTCATTGAATTTCTGAATTTTAGCTTCCCCATATCCCAAGATAGAAAGATATTGGGTCAATATGTTGTTTTTCTTTGGAAAGACGGTATATTTTACACATATACATGATATTATACAAGAAACCAGAATTCTTGGAATAGTTTTGTCAAATTCCTAGGCCCAGGAAACCAAAATTATTGACAGCTTTACATTTTTTGTAACATCCATGGAGTAACCATCCATGCCTTTTTTTGTGCTTAACTTGAGCTGTTGCTTTTTGATAACTCAGCCTTGGTGCATCTGCTTGTGGAATGATTGGTGGTATATAGGATCTTCACCATTCTGTCGTGTTAACCACTTTATTCATCACGGGAATGTATATGGGTCTCTATTTAAATGACATCTAACTTAAATTCTCATTTTCAGAGGAAGATGGAAAGATCAAGAACTGGTGTTTTTTCACCGTACTTGAAGTTGTATCCTGGCAGATACGAGGTAAGATAATTCTGTCATCTAACCAAAGATTGTAAATTATTAATGTTCTTAGAATGAGAGAGACATTACCTTATGCTACAGATCAAATTCATTGTTGATGGTAAATGGATGATTGATCCCTTGCGCCCCATTGTTCACAATAACGGACATGAGAATAACCTCATTATCACATAGGTGGATATATTCAACACAGGGAATTAGAAGAATTAGAAATTTAGGTACTAATTGTTTAACTTCTTCACCTTTTTCATTTCTTTGTAAACAAGTGGAGTGGATGCAGAGAACTTTTGTGACATTGATTTTTCTAATAATAATAACACGATTTTGTTTTTTTTTGTTTTTTTTTTTCCACTTAAAATTTCTGATTTATTTTGATGCATCTTTCTATTAAGACGCCCACAAAAATAGAGCTAATTTCCTCTTATAAATAGTGGGCTTAAGCCTGCATCGTTTGGGCCTCTGGGAATCCATCTTGAATCTGACATCTCTTAGTTACACTCGATTAGCAACAGTTATAAAGCGAACCAGACGAAGAGGGCTTGTCCCTTCGGGGACATCTGATAAAATTGGAATGATATAGAACCTAACAGCTCTTTCAAATGCCATTCGTTGTCTTAATTAGTTTCTTCAATTTCTACTTGCAGTTTCTTTAAGAATACAGATTGCCTTGTTTTATTTCCACCAGCATGCTTTCCTTTATGATAGCCATACTTTAATGCAAGTAGCTTTCTGGTTAGATGCAGCTTAGCAGTTTCAACTAGTCATGCAGATACAAGCAGCAAAACATCTCCAGAAATAGCAATTGGGAGTGCTAACACAAATACTCGTGAAAATTAAGACTGTTCATATAAATATATTATTCCAACAGCTCTAACGACAACACTTTCTATCATCAGCAACACGAGAAAATAAAATGGAGTTCTGTTGGATACCTTAAAGTGTTTGCAGCATTTAGAAATTACATGGAACTGGTGGGGAAAAAGTGCATTAAGTAGCTTTTTAAAGTAGTAATTAATTCTCATGCATGGTGGTAGCATTTAGAACCTGGGCTACTGATCTTGTTTGTACGTGATGTTTAGCAATACAAGTGGTTTGATGTTGGTACAAGGCAAGAAAATTAAGTTGTAAGTACTGATAATTAAGAGAAAATCTTTTACTAAATCCTTATTAATAAATGAGCAGTGCTATTGAGACAATCTTTTTATCTCACATTTTTATATAATTTTTAAATATCATTAAATGAGAAGATGTATTCAAGATCACAGATCTTAAATGAATTAAAAAAACTAATCATTTTAATGACACGTTAAATTATACAAAAAGATAAAATAAAATAATTGTACTAATAACATTTCCCTTAATAAATTAATTTTTTGCCGATTAAAAAGTAGCAATTAGAATATACTCTTGGAATAAATAATCAGTTGGAAATTAAGGGTGTTAGTCCAGACTCAACTTCCTGGGGAGAGGTGCAAAAGTAAGAAGCGTTCAACTATCCAAATTTTCTACTCTTGTTGCATAATGATAGTTATTTTTTTGTTTTATTTTTAAATTAATTATTCAAGGACAATTTGCATTTTAATTATAACAAATTAATATTAAATTAGAACTCGGTCCTCCCCCACCCCCCTCCTTTCACGTCTAGGCCCCGTTTTCTTGCTAACATTTCTGAGAGTAGGTCGAGTAGGGCCTACCTAATCTTCTTGCGCCCACTTCCTCCCAACTCCCAAGTCACAACCCACCCACCCCCACCCCCACCCCGTACCCCTTTTTTTGTTCACGTCTAGACCGCGTCTTCTCTACGTGGGACAGTATACAGCTCTACTCTGATAATGACTAGCCTTGTGGACTTGTACCTTTGGGAGCCTTTGAAGTCTCAATTGGCTTGCCGTGAGGGGCATATTAAATTGGGAAATTCTATGTTCGATAGTAAGAGAAAAAAACATCTGGTTCAATTATGATATAGGCTATTTTACCTATAATTCAATAATTTTATAATTATAATATTATATAATATTATAAATTTATAATTATAATATATTATTAAATAAATTTATTATGTTATTTAATAAGTAAATATATATAATATTAAAAATAAATTATTAAGTGAAAAAAATTAATTATATAATGATAAATTATTACAACTTTATGTTTTGCCACTTTGTGGAAAAAACTAAAAAATAGGATTTCCATACGATTTTCTCTTTTTAAATAGTTGACCTTCAAATGGAATAGTTGAAAAGATATTTGTATGTAAATTGTATTATATCTTAAACAATTTTGCAAAATGGAGGATGTCACTCTAAAAATGAGTTATTAACTGCATTAAACACCCCTACAAGTTTTAAAACCAAAATTATATATATAAGGTTACTAATCTTAAATCAAATATAATATCCTAAGAAATTCAACTAAAAACCATATTAATATGAAATTGACATGCAATTAAATTAAATATGCAAACGTGTAACTTTTTTTGACTTACAAACTAAGAGCATGTTTGGGTTAACTAGTAAGAGTTTTTATTTTTTTTTTTGTACTGTTCATGAGTGATAAATTTAAATTTTTATTGGAGAAAAATTTAAAAATTACTTTTAGAGATAGAAAAAAATAAGTAAAAAATAAGTAAAAGGAGAGTTTATGAAAAGTTTGAATTTAAAATTTTGAAACTTTTTGAACTTTTTAAACTTTGACTGTTTGAAATCTTTTTAAGATTAAAAATAAGTTTAAAAATATAAAATTTTTTTAAAAAAATTTAAACTTATAAAACATAATTTAAACTTATAAAACATGAATAGTGTTAAAAAATTAAAGCACTTTGAAGCTAAACCAAACATGCCATAAATCTACAACATTGTAGACCATGTTAAATTCTAGAAGACTAATTCAGCCTACTTTTAGACTAAATTAAGGCTAACTAATTGCCTACCTAAAAGTCTAATAAAGAATTAATGTAAAATCTGGAGAATTACCAAGTGAAGGAACTACTTTGACATTAGATGAAATCAATCCCTAACAAGTTAATTGTTACATGGAAAGGAATCATGAAGCAATCATACAGCCTAAATAAGTAAACACATAAAGAAACAGAATTCATTGAAAATCACACCAAATCAATTGAGTAGACCTGAATTGCAAGGCTGGCTCGCTTCTCAATTTAACAAACAAAAGAATTCAAACTAAGATTTTCCTAATGTTACCCTACTAGCTACTGGAGATGATTCAAGTGGTAACCGCTCCACTTTCTATAACCGTTCGTTAACGGTTGATCTATTCCATATCTGGGCTGCAGATATCCCTGGAATTTCTCCACGTCTAACAACTAAAGTTTGCTTCCTAATCCAACTCAAAGAGAACCCCAAACGTAATCTTCTTTCCTTGGTATTCTCTTAAATTTCTAAACTCGAGTAAATCTCAAGTAAATCTCATTAAATGGAAGAATTAAACTACCTATTTGTCAAGTGGCGCTGCATCATTGTAACAACCATGATCTGGGCCTCAGACAATTAACTCTAGACTAGCTACGAAATCTTGATGATGTGGCAAGACTTTGCTATTCATAAGCCCCCACTTGGGTGCGTAGCAACTCTCCATTTAATGTTTATTTAAATAGTAAATGGTAACTATTTCATTTTCAATTGGTTTTAGATTTGAACCTCATGTTATGCTCACATGTGTTTTAATATTTATTTATATTATTTTAAAAAATAAAAATAAAAGAGAGACTTTTATAATAAAATAAACAATTAAAATTGAAAGATAATGGTAAGATTAAAGTAAAAATTTCACTTAAAAGTAAAATTACTATTAATTTAAGAAAAATAATTGTTACACTTTTCGATTTGATATATTTATCGATTTAATTATTAAAATTTACAATTGAAAATTTTTTTATTTTGAATTCCAATTTAAAAATAATAATTTTTTAAAGAGTGTGTTAAACTGAAATATACACTAATAATTATTCTTAATTTAGAACAAATTCTAAATAAGAAAAAGACTTCTATTATTCTTATCCTAGGATAGATGGAGTATGTTGCATTTTGTTTTCAGAGCAAAGCTTTGTGGTGGTACTGGTTGCAATCAAGGGCAGAATTACAGTTGGGCACAGACCCGGCCTATCTGATATCTCAAAAAAATTAGAAATAAAAAGACAAAATACCATAGGCTCTACTTCAAATCCCTTTGTAAAGACAAAAAGATCTAGAGTTAGAATTAAAAAAAAAAAAAAATCCTTGATCAGCTTCATGATTTCGTCCTTGTAGGCAGCTGATTGTTTTGCATCCAATTTCTAAGTTGGCCTTCCATGCGACTTGGATCGGGTTTTGCCCTCTTGTTGAAGGAGAAATGACTGAAGTGCAATACACCAACAACTTCTCAAGTTGAAATCTACTTTAGCAAGTTCAAGTTGTTAGAGTTGTTTATACTAATATATTATCCAAAAAAGCATTCCCTTTTGTATGTTGGATTTGGAGTGCGCGCGTCACATTTGTCCTCTACTAGGCATGGATGTTGCTTAATAATATTCAATTAAGCAGACTAGAAAGTGTGCATTAATTAGTTGGAAAATTATCAAAATCTTTTTTATTAGCAAAAAAAAGGGGAAATTATCGAAATATACAGGGTGACCTTCATGATTATGGAATCTAACTGAATTTTCTCCTCGGATGCGAACTTTTCTGCATGCCAAGTAGGTAGTTTGTAATGATAAATGATTTTTTTTTTCTTTACTAACCCTCAGAAGCCATATTATGTCTTGATTAATCCGGAGTCCAACCGCATAAGACTCCATAAAGAGAAAAACTCTCTCAATGCCGGTTTCTCCATTTACAAGACTTAAACTTGAGATCTTGCTTAAGAGAAACCGAGTTTTTTCCATTCGAACGTTGGTGATAAATGATGTTATTACAAGTAAAATTTGAATGACTTTGACTATGAACAATTCTACTCTTCATAAAAATATTAAAACTACTTGTACTGATATGATTTATCAAAATTTGGTTAGGAAGACCTTGAATTCGATTTCCTCTGGTTGAGTTTGTGATCCTTGATTTTGATGGATTTAAAATCAAGTTTTTTCCATTTCGACATTGGTGATAAATGATGTTATAACAAGTAAAACTTGAATGACTTTGACCATGAACAATTCTACTCTTCATAAAAATATTAAAACTACTTGTACTGATGATTGATCAAAATTTGGTTAGGAAGACCTTGAATTTGATTTCCTCTAGTTGAGTTTGTTATTCTTGATTTTGATAGATATAAAACCAAATGTGAATGGAAATATATATTTGGCTTATTTTTAGTGATGTTGATATGATTT